GAAACTAATTAACAAACTCATTTGTTAATTACTAAACCACTCTCGTATCGCTACTCTCGTCCGAGACTCGATCCGAGACTGGTTTCCGCAATGTTCAAGACACCCCCCATTCCTCCCTCTATCGATAGCCGATTGAAAAATCATTATCTTGCTACCTAAGGAACCTCCAATTAATCAAAAATATTTAACAAACTCATTTGTAAATTAATAAACCACTCTCGTATCGCTACTCTCGTCCGAGACTCGATCCGAGACTGGTTTCCGCAATGTTCAAGACACCCCCCATTCCTCCCTCTATCGATAGCCGATTGAAAAATCATTATCTTGCTACCTAAGGAACCACCAATTAATAAAAAATAATTAACAAACTCATTTGTAAATTAATAAACCACTCTCGTATCGCTACTCTCGTCCGAGACTCCATCCGAGACTGCTTTCAGCAATGTTTAAGGGACCTTCACATACCCCGTCCACCGATAGACGCTCCAAAAATGTTTTTCTTGCTACTCAAAGCCCCTCTAACTAATCGGAAATGATTAAATAATTAATTTGCCAATTACTTAACCACTCTTGTATCTCTACTCTCGTCCGAGACTTGATCCGAGACTGCTTTCAGCAATGTTTAAGGGACCCTCAATTACCCTTTCTACCTACATTGGGTCCACAAAGGATTTTCAACTTATCTAATGCACCCTCAATTAATAAACAAATTGATTTGTGAAGGCATAAACAACTCTCGGATGCACTCTCGGACGAGAGTCTTTACTGGAGTTTGGCGTCCTACCCTCCGAAAATCCGAGAGTCGAATGAGTGTCCACTCCGAGTGTCGGAGCTACTCTCGGATAGGTCTCAGACTCATCCGCCAGCCGATTGAAAAATCATTATCATAGTACCTAAGGAACCCCCAATTAATGAAAAATAATTAACAAATTCATTTGTTAACTACTAAACCACTCTCGTATCGCTACTCTCGTCCGAGACTCGATCCGAGACTGGTTTCCACAATGTTCAAGGGACCCCCCATTCCTCCCTCTATCGATAGCCGATTGAAAAATCATTCTCTTGCAACTCAATGTGCATCCAATTAATAAAAAATAATCAACAAACTCATTAGTCAATTAATAAACCACTCTCGGATCGCTACGCTCGTCCGAAACTCAATCCGAGACTGGTTTCCGCAATGTTCAAGGGACCCCCCATTCCTCCCTCTATCGATAGCCGATTGAAAAATCATTCTCTTGAAACTCAATGTGCATCCAATTAATAAAAAATAATTAACAAACTCATTTGTTAATTACTAAACCACTCTCGTATCGCTACTCTCGTCCGAGAGCTCGATCCGAGACTGGTTTCCGCAAAGTTCAAGGACCCCCCATTCCTCCCTCTGCCATGAGCCGATTGAAAAATCATTATCATACTACCTAAGCAACCCCTAATTAATCAAAAATAATTAACAAACTCATTTGTTAATTACTAAACCACTCTCGTATCGCTACTCTCGTCCGAGACTCGATCCGAGACTGGTTTCCACAATGTTCAAGGGACCCCCCATTCCTCCCTCTATCGATAGCCGATCGAAAAATCATTATCGTACTACCTAAGGAACTTCCAATTAATCAAAAATAATTAACAAACTCATTTGTTAATTACTAAACCACTCTCGTATCGCTACTCTCGTCCGAGACTCCATCCGAGACTGATTTCAGCAATGTTTAAGGGACCTTCACATACCCCGTCCACCGATAGACGCTCCAAAAATGTTTTTCTTGCTACTCAAAGCCCCTCTAACTAATCGGAAATGATTAAATAATTAATTTGCCAATTACTTAACCACTCTCGTATCTCTACTCTCGTCCGAGACTTGATCCGAGACTGCTTTCAGCAATGTTTAAGGGACCCTCAATTACCCTTTCTACCTACATTGGGTCCACAAAGGATTTTCAACTTATCTAATGCACCCTCAATTAATAAACAAATTGATTTGTGAAGGCATAAACAACTCTCGGATGCACTCTCGGACGAGAGTCTTTACTGGAGTTTGGCGCCCTAACCTCCGAAAATCCGAGAGTCGAAGGAGTGTCCATTCCGAGTGTCGGAGCTACTCTTAGATAGGTCTCGGACTCATCCG